TCCTGCCTGGGACCCATCCTCCCATGTTTCTCCTGGATCTCATCCTTGCTCAAGGAACTTGCTCCTACAATTTTTCTTTTTCTCGTCTATTATCAATCGCCCTTTCTTAACTGGAGTGTTCCCTTTGGCTGATGTACTTGTTTCAGTATCACTCATATAAATAGAGAAAAACAAAAAAACTATCTTTCCCTCCCACGCTGCCCTCCAGCTACTTTGCATTTCTCTGCCGTCTGTCACAGCCAAACTCCTCCAAGTTGCCTATGCTCACATCTCTACCTTTTTTACCCTCCATTCTTTTCTCAGTCTAATTTCTGAGTTGCTACTTCATAACTGTAATGTTGCTACTGTTATGAATCGTAATGCACCCGACAAGTTGCATTTCCCCCCACCCCTCCATGAAACACTCCAGTTTTCATCAAGGTCTCACAACTACTGGCCAGTTCTCTATTCCCATGTGACCCCATCACCTCGCAGCTTTTAACCCAGTCGGCCACTTCCTTTTTTAAACTCTCTTTCTCCCTCGATGTCCCCGATACCATGTACCCGTTTTCCCTCTTACCTCCCTGGCCACTCTTTCTCTGTCTCATTTGTTGGCTCCTTCTTCTCTGTTCAGCCTCTAAATATTGGAGAACCCTGGGCCTGTTCTCAGCCCTCTTCTCCTCCCTATCCACACTTTCTCCCCATGTCATCGCGCCCAGGTCCATGACTGTGAATAATACCTGTACGGTGGTAACTTCAAAATCTGCAGCTGCAACGCTGATCTTCCTACTAGGAGCCAGACCCAGAATCCACTGTCTCCACAGCATCTCAAATTTAACTAAACAGAGAGAGAGAGAGAGAGAGAGAGAGAGAGAGAGAGAGAGAGAAATCGATGTGAGAGGGACACATCTATTGGTTGTCTCCCGCACTCATCCCAACCGGGGCAGGGATGAACCTGCAACCCAGGTATGTGCCCTTTGACCGGGACCCAAGTCCGCAGGCGGATGCTCTACCCCAGCGTTTCTCAACCTGTGGGTCGCGACCCCTTTGGCGGTCGAACGACCCTTTCACAGGGGTCGCCTAAGACCATCCTGCAGATCAGATATTTACATGACGATTCATAACAGCAGCAACATTACAGTTATGAAGTAGCAACGAAAATAATTTTATGGTTGGGTCACAACATGAGGAACTATATTTAAAGGGCCAGAAGTTTGAGAACCACTGCTCTAACCAATGAGCCAAACAGGCCAGGGCCTGATTGGGTTTTGAATGCCCGAGAGCACATAGCACAGGGTAATCTCTGTAGATGTTTAATTTATATTTCAGTCAGTAGAAAAGAGAGATGGACAGGTGAGAGGGAAGAAGGGAGTGAGAACAAGCAAATTAGAATTCCATCCCCTCTCTGAGCGTCACTTTTCTCACTCCTGCGCTGGGGTGATCATTCCTCTTCGTTGGTGCTAACACTGGGCACATAGCACAGTTTCGGTATTGATCCCATCAAGCTCCAACGCACCTCGCTCCCGCCAGCACATGGTGTGTGCGCAATACAAGTGTGTGAATGAATGAAGGCGTGACTATGCCCTGACCACCTCGAGGGGCTGTTGGGAAATGTGGCTTGTTGTTCTTACCCGTGTCACCCTCTCCCGCTGATTAGAAATGACTGCCCCAATTTGTTTACAAGGTTTTGTTCTTTTTTAGCAGTCTCTGCTTTGGCCACTAGATGGCACAAGAGGAAAGTTCCTGAAAAAAGGCAAGCAATGTGAACAAAGCAGCCACCCTGGGGGTAATGAAGCAAAACAAATAGCCAGCATTTCACCAAACACATTGAAAGGAAGCAAAACCTCCACAAAGCTCAACTTAAATGAACCTTTGAGCACTGGTAGATACAAAGACCAAACAACAACAACAACCACCACCAACAAACAAACAAAAAACCGCTCTGCAGATAGTAATAAGATACGGATCCAAACAACAATGGCCTGGAACAAGATATCCTGGGGCACCATGGAGGGAATCAGCAGACCCAAGATGATGCGATGCAAGACGAGAGGAGGCCAGACCGGACCAACCACCACGAGGGAGGGTTCTGGCTGTTGCACAGAGAAACCTGGAACCAACGTGAAACTCCCCCTGATAGAGCAGAGCTGCTGCACGCGTACTCCAGTTCAATTTCAAGTGTATGTAGTTCTCATTTCAGAGTCAATTTTAGCAAATCCTTGTGGCATCTATTTATAGCCGTCAGAGAACTTTCCTAAAACACTGTTACACAGAAGAGCCTGTGCCGTACAGCCATCAGCTGATAGTAGGAGTCGAGAAGCTAGAGTTCAGAGTGGGCAACAGGAAGTAGTGAACTGGTTCACCACGCTGCCTCTAAAGGCCTTGCTGGGACCCGGGAGCTCTGTTCGAAAAGCACCCGACAAGTCCACTCGCTGAGATCCCATGTTCACCAAGAAGCCGGCTGATTATAAACAGACTGGACAGATCTGCCTCCAGGGAGAAAAAGCTGTGATCATTCCAGCCCAGGCCCTCCTGACCTGTGATGGCTGTATTTTTCACTGTAATTTAATGCACTGGCATTCTGTGCTAAACATCAGTCTCCTAGGAGTTTGGTAAATGTGAATTGCCACCAGGAAAAGGATTATCTTGACAAAGTGAACCAATGAACCACTGGACTCAGAACACAGACTGAGTTGAATTCTGTGTTGAACGCCTTCCAGGACATCTCTTGGCAGCCAACCAAGGCTCTGGTGGTCCGTTTTCTATACATCCTTACACATCTTTCTTACCCACTTCTACAGCCATGGTTCTCCATCCTGGCTGCCTATCAGAATGATCCAATGCAGCTTCCCAGACCCTAGTCCCCCAAATTCTAATTCAATGATCTTGGGTTGATTTGGGAATCTGTCTTCCTAAGAAGTCCAATGGATTCCAATGAGGTTGGCCCTCATCCTGGGGTGTTTGGGAACCATTCATCTTCTTGAGTGTAATTCCACAGGTCAGTCTGGAACCACAGAATCATGGAATATATTATTTGAAAAGGGCCTCCAGATCAATAAGAACTCCTTTCTACAGCATCCCCGCACACTAGGCTCCCAAGGAAGCTGGCCTTACACTGCTCCGCTTAATGAGGACAAGAAACTGGCAGACTTCTGGGAGTGTTGGCCTTTAATCAAAAGAGTCCCATTAGCTCTTGGAGAAACAGCCCTATCTGGCCAAGAATGCATAGATGAGACCAAGGCCAGATACGTAATTTGTGAGGCCAGTGCAAAATAAAAAATTCTGAAAATTTTCAGGATGGTGAGAGCAGAGCATTCACCCAAGCGTGGGGCCCTTCTGAGCACCGAGTCCTGCCATGACCTTGGCTGCATCCAGGACTATTGGGCCGGGACTACAACTGAGGGGGATGATGATTTATAAATCAAGGAACATCTGTGTTTTTATCTTCTATCAGCTTATTTTCCTGCCTTTACACAGTGGCCAAGGCGATCTCTTTAAAATGCAAATCCGCCCTCAGGTGTGGCTCAGTGGTTGAGTGTCCACCCATGAACCAAAAGGTCAAGATTTGATTCCCGGTCAGGGCACATGCCCAGGTTGTGGGCTCGATCCCCAGTAGGGGGCATGCAGGAGGCAGCCGATCCATGATGTTTCTCTCTCATCATTGTTTCTACTTCTATCCCTCTCCCTTCCTCTTTCTCTAAAAATCAATCGGAACATATTTTTTTAAAAACAAGCTCGGCTAAGATTTAAAAAAAATAAATGAATAGAATGCAAATCTGATCGCATCACTCCCCTGCATCACATGATGCAATGGCCTCCCATTGCTCCAGGATCAAGGGCAAAGTCCTTGGTAGGACCCACCAGCTCCTTTGCGATCTGACCCTGCCTACCTCTCTCCCCGCAGGCTCCTCATTCTTTATACTCCCGTCACGCTGCCCTTGTCTCAGTTCCCCCAATTCTCCAGGCTTCTTTCTTCTGGGATCGTTCACAAATGCTGCTCCTGTGGCTAGAAGACTCTTCCCTGCCTGTCCTCACCTGCTACCTTCTGCCTGTCCTTCAGGTCAGAGGTTACACGTCTCTTCCTCATGGAAGCTTTCTCTGACCTGCCTTGGGCCCCACTGTCCCGTTCCCCTCTCCTTGTCCTTTATACATATATGTTCACTGTTCTTAAACGGTGTGATTATTTGTTTAATGTCCATCTTCCCTGATGGACTAAATGCTTCTCTTATTATCGCTTAGCAAGGTGCCTGGAACATAGAAAGAGCTCAAAAAAAGTATTTTGAATTAATGAATTTAAATATTTTGCTGTTGTGTTCATTCTCACCCAAGGATATTTTCCCATTAATTTTTAAAAAGAGAGGGAGGGGTGGAGGAGAGAGAAAGAAACATCAGTGTGAGAGAAACACATCGATTGGTTGCCTCTCGTACATGCCCTGACCCAGGCCGAGGATTGAGCCTGCAACCAAGGTGCCCTTGACCGGAATCAAACCCAGGACCCTCCAGTCTACAGGCTGACGCTCTATCCATCCACTGAGCCAAACCAGGTAGTGCTGAATTAATGAATTTTAAAAACCAACAAATAATGAATGAGTGAAAACGCCAGACCCTAGGTGTGCTCCTCCTATTAAAGAAACTCATTTTTTTTCCAAAGCCCATGGTCCTGATTGCCCAGTCACTCCATGTATAGATAAAAGGTGGCATTTAAACCTCCATCGTATAAAAGGTGACCACACTTCACAGTTCTTCCAACCTTTTAATAACGTGCTTATTAACAGCACTCACCCTTGCCCACCACACTGCCTGCTTGGAGGGTGGACCGTATGGACACCAGGCTCTGGTAACCCTTCGATCCCCTCTTTTCCTCTCTCTTTCTCGGCACAGCTGAACTGGTGAGCGACAGCATCTGTGTCTCCGTGGCCATCGTATTAACAGTAAGAGCTTAAGTTATTAAACCGAGCAGCTTTTATCTGGGAGGTCTCCCGGAGCCCGGGGGATTAATGTATTTTTACCCCAGAGCCAACGGAGCTATTCCAATGAACTAGGGTTTGTTTCCTGCAAAGAGACTGTCCCTGCGGCCTTTCTCTAACCCCGCTTCCCAACCGCAAGAGACGCCATGGCGTTTTACTTGGAGGTGGACCCCGTCACCCTGAACCTGATCATCCTGGTCGTGAGCTACGTCATCTTGCTCCTGGTATTCCTCATCTCCTGCGCGCTGTACGACTGCCGAGGCAAGGACCCCAGCACGCAGTCCACGCCCGAGGCCACGCTCGATGCCCAGCCCTCCATCCGCTTGGTGGTGATGCAGCAAAGCGCGCCAGGGGGCCCCTGGGCCAGGGGACCCGACCTTCATTTTGGAAATCCCGCTCCCCTAGGGAAGAAAAGCACGGTGGTGTGAGGCTGGCTGCGGGGTCCTGGGGAGAGGGCACAGGACATTCTGGACAAGCCATTCCCCCAGGGGCTCCGGCCCTGGCGGCGCACAGGTCCTGCTGGGCCACCTGAGTGGGAGCCCCATCTCAGTGTCTGCTTCCTCGGCACCCTCTGTGGAGAAAGCAACCCTTAAGGTAAGACACCCAACGCGGCATTTGGGCACGTTCCCCAGATGCTGTTGTACAGGGAAGCTGCTTATTGGTACCTTCCCGATGATGCAACTTCTAGGAGAAACTGGCATTTGAGTAGGGGGTTGAGAAGAGACTGCAATAGTGTGTGTGTGTGTGTGTGTGTGTGTGTGTGTGTGTGTGTGTGTGATGAAGAATGAAACGAGTTCGAATCTATCCTACCTAGCGAATCCTTCCTTTGCCCATCAACCACAGAACCTTTGCAGACTTTAGGTTATTATTATTTCTATACATATAGGCTCCTCACCTGTTTCCCAATGCGAGTCACTATGGGAACACAGTAACTGCAGAGCATTGTGGGTAATCGGCAAAGCTTAGAGCCTGGGTTCAAGCTCTGCCTCCTCCCCTTACTGGCTGTGTGACCGGCCAGAAAACAGGCTGTGTGGCCAGGGCTATCACAGGTGGCTCCAGGCTAGTGGTAGGGCCTTCGGGCTGTTTGGGGTATTTAAGTGAGCTAATTCACCAAAAGCACTTGAGAGGGTGTTAGCACAGGCTTAGCTGTTATGATGATTGTGATATTATTCCCCTTCATTCTTCTCATCAAGAAGGTTAAGCTCCATTGCCAGGCTGTCGTGGCTCAGTGGTTGAGCATTGACTCATGAACCAGGAGGTCATGGTTCAATTCCTGATCGGGTTGCAGGCTCAATCCCCACTGTGGGGCGTGCAGGAAGCCTCCGAGTGACTCGGCCTCTACTTATTCTCATTGTATCTGCCAGTAGAACAACAGTGGCTTTCATTTTGTTGAAATCCTTCCATATGCAAGATACTTTATGTATATTATTGGAAACCTTCACCAATGTTAACATTATACTCATTTTTATTTATTCTTATTGATTTCAGAGAGGAAGAGAGAGGAAGAGAGAGATAGAAACATCAATGATGAGAGAGAACCATTGATTTGCTGCCTCCTGCATGCCCCACACTGGGGACTGAGCCTGCAACCCAGACATGAAATCGAACCGTGAACTCTTGGTTCATAGGTTGACGCTCAATCACTGAGCCATGCCAGTTGAGCAACATTATACTCATTTTAAAGTGAAGAAAAAGACTTCGGAAGCTAAGTGAGACATAAAAGCCTCAATAGCAGGCAGTGATAGAAGGAGATTCAAGCTTGGCATTTCTGGGGCAAAGCCCTGCCTTGATCCACTCTACCCCACTCTCCTGGCCAAATTATAATGATTTATTTTGCTTCTGCTGGAACTCATGGTCATTTTATTCAGAGGAGAAAATCAGAAAGACCGCTTGATTATTTAACAGAAATTATTGGGCAGTTGCCCGGATACACAATTCTAGCCGGGGAGAGAGATGGTGGGGAATAAACATGAGTTTGCGACTGTTCTTGAACAGCTGTGAAAAGCCAAGAGCAGGAGGCTCACATCTTGAACTGAGTTCAAATCCTGCCTCCCACGTGGACCAGCTGTGTGGTCTACGCTTCCCTGAGCCTCCATTTCCTTATCGCCAAACTAGCTTAAAGTGTGTCTATCGCATAGGCGAGCAGAGAGTTCAATGATACAAGAATAAAAAGCATCAGGCGGGTAGCAGACTCCTGGTAAATCTCCATTCTCTCCCTACCTTCCCTCGATTCAAAAGTATTTTGTTTGTGTCCTTCTCACAGCTATCATCCAAATTAGGCCAAACATGGCATTTGCTTTCATAAAAACTGTGCCCGATGGGAGAATAATGAGTTAAAAGTAGGCAAAACAGAGTATCCTAAGCCCATAAAGAAGCAGAAATAAGGCAGTGTTTGAATGCGAAAAGTAACTTCTTGGTTCTAGCTGGAAATTTGCTCCACCAGGTTTGAAGACATTAGCTTGAATGTCACAGCTGTGCAACTAGTAATTCCATTGGGAGTCAGAGCTTTATTTCCAAAATAAGAAATAAATCACAACATTTTCGAACACAGGCAGGTAAGAGATAGGGCTCTAGAAAGAGCCCTAGGCAGGCAAAAAGGGGAAATATTGACCAGTCAGACACATATGCAAAAAGAACGCCACGTGAAGATCGGAGTTATGTGACCACTTTCCAAGGAACTACCAGAAGGCGGGAGAGAGGCCTGGAACAGATCCCTGCCCACACCTTCATCTCAGACTTCCGGCCTCCAGAACTCTGAGACAATATATCCTCGTTGTTTAAGCCACTCCGTTTGTTTGTTGAACTTTGTTAGGCCAATCCTAGCAAACAAATACAGTGACTAAAGGGCATGTTTAGAGCACTGGTGGGAGGTTTAACATTTCCAGGCCCTTTGGGGGCAGTGACGGGATTCTTTTGGATGTGATGGATGGTGTGCTGACTTGGGCCCTGGGCAGAAGCTACAAGGGCCAGCTTTATCAGGGTTGCCTCCTATACAGATCCTGCAAAGCAGAGCAACCCTTTGTTGTGTTTCCAAAGAAGATGGAATAGAGTGGAAACATCTTTAGGAGGAAAACTGCTTGTTTTTCTAGATAATAGGTCAAAGATCATTGTGAGGAACAGGAGTGAGAAACTCTGTTCTATAAAGAGGCACAAGGCGTAAGTCACAAGGCAAAGATGTTATAGGGTCCAATGCAAACCTATGGGGTTGAAGCAAAAAAACAAACACACACACACAAAGTCAGAATTAGCCCTAAAATATCCAAGTCCCTCCAGATAGCCCACAGATACTTCAAAACCCACTCAGCGAGTGCCGCCGCGTCATTCCATCTGCCTGAAATGTGTAGGGGGAGTTTCGGCTTGTCTTGCATAAAACCTTTAGGTGGACAGCATGTGATTAGCAGAACCCAGGGATTCTGACTTAGTCCCGAGTTTACCCTTTAGTTCCATAGCTGCCCAGAATCCGGACAATCCCAGAGTGACTCAGCATGCTGGAGGCCGAAAGCCCACACGACTGTGCTTTGTCTCTCACTGCTTTAACTTTAGGGGAGCATTGAATAACACATCCCCTCAATTAGGGGAAACTTCTCCGAGAACCTGAGGGCAGACACAGTCCAGTATCCCACGAGAGTATCAAGGACCGCCCAATCGGGGCACGTGCCCGGATTGCAAGCTCAATCCCCAGGAGGGGGCGTGCTGGAGGCAGCTGATCAATGATTCTCTCTCATCACTGATGTTTCTGTCTCTCCCTCTCCCTCTTCCTCTCCCTTCCTCTCTGAAATCAATAAACACATTTTCGTAAAGAGTATCAAGGACAGAAAAATAAAAAATAAAATACAAAGAGTATCAAGGACAGCCTTCTTCCCGTTACTTCATCTTCCCTGAGAACAGTAGTGGTTGAAATGGAAAAAGGAAGAGAACATTTATTATCTCCCCCTTTTTTAACAGCGAATTTGGACTTTGACCTTCCAGATAAGGTCTTCGTGACACGGGGATTAAGAAAGATCCTAGCACCAAGCTGGTGTGTCTCTGTGGTTGAACAGCAACCCAAACACCAGGAGGTTGCTGGTTCGATTCCCGGGGTTGTGAGCTCGATCCCAAGTAAGGAACCTGCAGGAGGCAGCTCTCTCATCGATGTTTCTCTCTCTCTCTCTCTCTCTCTCTCTCTCTCTCAAAATCAATAAAAATGTATTTTTTGAGAGAAAAAAAAGAAGAAGAAAGATCTATTTCACATGCTCCCAAGAGAGTGGAAGTTGTGGGCCCATATTTATTTTTTGTTCAAGGCTTCTCTATATCCAACTGTGATGGAATTAAACACCAGCCATCTGCTGGGATCTGCTGGCTCTCGGTTGGCACAGCTACAGCCTGGTGGCCTCAGCTGCAGGCCTGCAAAGCCGCGAAGACACCAGAAAGATGAGGACTTGGTTTGGAAGGATGAAGGGGACCAAGAGAGAGAAAGCATGCTCCTCCTCCGAGGGCTTAAAATTGCCCAAGAGCGGCTCCATGGGAGAAACGTGGCCGTGGAATTTGGAATCTGGACTGTTTGTCAGAATCGATAAAGCCATTCTTATCGTAGAAATTTATCAGGGAAAAGTTGCTTGCCGTGTGTGTGTGTAGGGGAGGGAGGGAGAAAAGCTAATATTATGATAGAATTTTGGAGAAGAGTTTGTGTATTTAACAGTCTTTATAACCATGCTCAGGAGAAAAACCAGATCCACACAAGGAAACAAATGGCTTCTTTAACAGCAGCAACACTAAACACCTCTCGTCATCAAGAAAGTCTCCCTTGCCCTAGCTGGTTTTGCTCAGTGGATAGCGCGTCGGCCTGTGGACTGAAGGGTCCTGGGTTCAATTCCGGTCAAGGGCACATGCCCGGATTTCGGGCTCGATCCCCAGTAGGGGGAGTGCACAGGCAGTCGACCAGTGATTCTCTCTCATCATTGATGTTTCTATTTCTCTCCCTCTCCCTTCCTCTCTGAAATCAATAATAAAAACATTTTTAAAAAAAGGAAAAAAAGAAAGTCTCCCTTTATTGAAGTTAGGTCTCTTCTCTTAAACTTTACATTCATTTCTCTCCTTTTCCCCTTTTGGGTTTTATAAAGAAAAAGGAAAAAAGAAAGTCTCCCTTTATTGAAGTCAGGTCGTCCCTTCTCTTAAACTTTACGTTCATTTCTCTCCTTTTCCCCTTTTGGGTTTTATAAAGAAGCAGTGTTTATATAATAGTGACTAGAGGCCTGGTGCATGAGTGGAGTCCCTCAGCCTGGCCTGTGCCCTCTTGCAATCCGGGACCCCTTGGGGGATGACGGACTGCTGGTTTCAGACCAATCCCCACAGACCAGGCTGAAACCGGCAGTCCGACATCCCCCAAGGGATGTAATAGTGCGTGAAGCGGCAGGCGGCCGGGGAAGAGCCCATGCCATTCCGCTCATCCCGGCCCCGCTGCGCCTGAGGAATGTAATAGTGCGTGAAGCGGCAGCCAGCCGGCCGGGAGGGGCCCATGCCATTCCGCTCATCCCGGCCCCGCTGCGCCTGCCACCACCGCCGCCCAGTAAGCTCGCTGAACGGCGCTCCCACTGTGGGAGCACACTGACCACCAGGGGGCAGCTCCTGCATTGAGCATCTGCTCCCTGGTGGTCAGTGCACATCATAGCGGCCAGAGGACTGGTCGTTTGGTCATTCGATCACTTAGGCTTTTACATATATAGATGTGCAAACATGCCCCCCCAATCAGATTAGATCACAAGGTGGAATTAAGTCTGGTGATAGCAGTTGGTTCAGACTCATGGAAGCATATGGGTCGTCATGCCCGTGCTCAGTGGATAGCGCATTGGTGAGTCACCATCAGTTGGGAGGAGTGCTGCCAGTCATCTGTTACTAAAAATAAATTGCCTACATTTGTGAATGATTTGCTTGGTTTTCTACAGGGCGTGAATCAATCATGACGCCATTATCATGCTTGTACTTCACTGTTGTTGCCCGTGCAGCACAGATGCAGGTGGAGTTACGTCAGTGTGGAAGCCACCACATGGACCTACCGACCGCCATCCATCCATTCAACAGGTATTTATAAAGCACCTACTTTGTGCAGATCTTGCCCAGGCCCGGGGAATACAGGACAGATGTGAGGTCTGTGCTCAGGAAGGTGGCCAAATAGCAGGAAAAACTACCAAGCACTTTGCCTAATATTTTCTGAATCCTCACTACTAGGAGGTACTATCATTTTCTCTATTTTATATGTTTTTGGCAGCTCAGACACTAAAGCCCATTCTTTGAACCAGTGAACTCCAAATACCTCTGAGCCTGCATGCCTTTCAGTGAGGAAACTTTCAGTACTCACCTGTGTGTGTACTTAAAGAAGTGTACATATATATTGAAATAAGCTTACATTTATATATATTTAAATAATACATGCATTTAAGTAAGTGTAGATTCATGCATTATATATAAACATGGGCAAATCTTTATAAACTACATGTACGTGATGTGGGGCTCCCTGCGCCTCACCTTGGAGACCGCTGCTCTCACACTCCACTGTGCTGCCTCCTGGTTTTGTCTTTGTGTAACAGGAACCATCAGCCGCCGATCTCCTGACCCCAGGTTTTGCTCTGGATGAGTGGGGATGGGAACCTCGTCTAGGAAATATTTTTTTATATAAAGTGAAAAGTAATAACTTTCCAGTTTGGACTAGATCTCTGTACTGCCAAGGATGTTTTGGCAGAATTCCTTGATCCATATTTTTCTTTTTAGATTCCAAGGTAAGTTGTTCTGTTAATTTGGAAATCCTACTTGTTTCCTTTTAAAAAAAAA